AGCAACATCGGGATTTTACTCACTCAGGGAGTTTGACTGCATGTTTTCTGGCTTCAGCTGCCTGGAATTCTACGGGGAATATCTCAGTGAGAATCATGTCCTGCGCGAGAGAGTCCAGCGTGTTAGGAAGCAATGTTCGGGATAATGCCGTCAACTACGTGCCGATTTGGTCTGATTCGGATTCATCACGGAAAAATATGTCACGACAGACACTTCCGAACGAGCGGGAGGAGGGACATTTTGCATCCAAAAGGGATGGTTCTCTCGTGTTCATGTGTTCGAAGGCAGTAGAAACTGATCGTCCGATGCTCAATAAATAATTAGATAGATCAGATCGTCAACGTTTCTCCGATTATCATTTTTGAATTCGATGTCCGGCACGATATCGCCGGAGTACGCTAAGGGAATAAAATGAGTGGGACAGTAAAAGCGAGGATTCTTCGTCCACAACGGTCGCTATGGTTTGAAACAATAGTCTCGGTCCTCGGTATCCGGCGCGACGTTCCGACATCCCATCGCTGGTTCAGGAGACGACTGTACGACAATGCGCTACTCGATCTGGAACCCGGAATTATCTCGCTCTCCGGCGTCAATGAATGCACAGCATGACCGTGCTCGTATTCCCTAGGCGAATTATTGGACTTGCCACCGAACATGAGCTACTGCTCTGTCTCCCTGAGATTCGAACGATAGGCATTACCTGACATCGGCATAGATTCTGGCTACCCGACTCCATTTTGGAGTCGAGGACGCTCCATGGCGGGGTTTCCATGCCCTCCCATTTCATCTAGAACCGAGCGAATGATTTTGACGGCTCCGTTGTTTCAACTCGGGACTCCAACGAATCGGAAACCGTCAATCGTCACTTTCACGCCGAAGTGCCTTCCGACGAAACTCGTCGATCGCACGCAGCAAGTTTAGGGGACTGCCCTGTCGGACGCCGAACGGGTGGAAATTCATTTCTGTCTGGGCGACTCATGGCTCGAGAAGTCCTTCGCACAACTGCGATTGATGCTTCAGCGATTTCTGGCTTTCGGTTCCCTGCTTCCGGGAGCCGAGCCTGCTCGGTTCCATTGCACTAGGAGACACATCCGAAGGCAACCCTACAATGTCAAAGAAGTACAACAATTTCCAACGGAATAAAGTTCACGGTGGCAGGTTGATGAGTTCCGCGATTCTTTGATGAGTATCAGAGAGTTTTATGGAATGATAAACATGAGGTTGCATCAGAACACTCATCGCTCCCGATATTGGACAGACCCACAAGTGGAAATGGCTCAGGTGTAGCGGCATGCGCCAGTAGGGCATCATGTTCTCTCAAAATAACATGCTCTCCGATGTTGCTCTAGTCGAATCTTCTTTGGGCGAAGAGGTGTGCTCGGTCGGGTATCTCCCAATATATATCCCCATTCCTAACTGCAAGAGATTGACCATCGATTGCTGTAGGAATTGTGATCTACGAGACAAAAGACACAGTGCCGGGAGTGATCCCTCAACAACATGTTGTTCTTGCTGCGTAACAGCTGTGTATCCGGTTCCCGCGAAGCGGACCCGCGTCTCCGCTCGTCCTACGGCTCTGGAAAACACACGACGAAAATGGAGACTACAGTAAAAGCTCGTTACTACGAACACAAAGGGACCGACGAAACTGGTTCGTTGTACCGAGTTTTCGCTGTAAGGGATGCTGCTCAACACTATCCCTATGGCGAGCTGGCCAAAGGAGGAGAAATTCCTTGTTCGTTGTACCGAGAAATTCGTTGTAATGGGGGTCGTTATAACGAGCTTTTACTGTATAGATTTCACATGGAGATCCGTTGGATTCGCTCGAAATAACGCAATTTATTTTTGACTATATACAAAAACATCCTTCAGAAAATAACTAAACAAGACCGGTACGGCGTGTTCACTATGAATCTTTTTTCGCAAAATCCAGCGGTCTTAGCTAGATACTTTATCAGATCACAAAAGAGTACTCATATGCCTCCAAGTTGATTGACGGGTTGATTGTTGATTCGATCACGCTAAACTTCTACTTAATAATGCTTCCCAGAACAACAAGCAACGAGTCATCATCACGCTCGTAGTAATGGTGATGATAATAATTTCTGCTCACTTTTCTCGATCTCTCATTTCCCTGTTCGCGGGTTGTTTATCCACAAGGCTCATAACCCCGTAGCATCCTCGTTTTTTCAATATTTCGAGTTTCATATTCCAAGAAGAATCCGATTTTATCTTCGAACCGCACCAATTTAACTCTCTCCACTTCACCCCGACTGTTTGCTTCAGACCATTTGCTAATACCTAGTGACTTCGAGGCTATTTTCCAACGGAGCTGGGTTCGCGGGCGGCGATCTATCACAGCCCCTTAAACAACGTTGATGATCTCAGCTCGGCTGATCGAAACGCATCTCTGACGAGTCTAGGTAGATCGCCCTGCTGCTTCATATATATCTATTAATCAGTTGAAACGTTGGTTCCCCTACACCTCCCACGAATGATCTGACGGCAGGTGCTTGGAGAATTGGTCGATTGGAACAACTACTCAAAACTTGAAAGGAATACTAAACGGAACACTTGGTGCGAGGTAGAATCTCTTCGAAGTTCAACGAGATTTTTAAACTCTATAGCAGTGCCTTCGTACCTGACTCTGTTCTCCCGTAGAAGCACTTGTGTTAACATCATTATCTTATTATGCCCTCCTCCTAGGCGTCCTAGACTCTCTTCGTTTCTCAACATTAATCCTTCCTCCTATTCCAACTCTACGCGTGACTATGCTCATGCTATCACTGTTACTCAACTCCACCGTTCTCAACTTTCCCTGCTATTGCTATGGTTGGTTTCTGTCTCGTGTAGCAAATCTCTGATAGCAGGTTTTACGTGGTCTACCTGTATTTGTACGGTATTTGAATAGAGTCGAAACGGTATTCCGTTTTGTTGCTTCCTGACCTCCGAATGATTTCGGATCACGATTCCGAACCGTGTGTAGAATTTCCAGCGCTTGTGAGTCATGCGGATTGAACAGCTCTCGGGCTTGGAGGAATGGATCCGAAAACATCATTCGATTCTAGAAACATTGGCGATCAGTCGGGACGATCCAGAGGCTCGGCCCGCCTTGATTTTGATTGTGAGCGCGAGGATCCATCGGTCTTGCGATCCCATTTTATCATAGTTGGGAGCAGGCGCGAAGACACTCAAGAGACTCCCCGTCTTTCTGCGGCTCGGAATCAGATTGAGAGGCATCTTGAAGAAATCTGAGAGCTGTATTCGAATCATAGCGCCGCCGAATTGTCCCCACTGTCCAAGAGGTACTTGTTATCCGGTATCATCGCTTGGGTGGCATCTCATGGTAGTTTAATATTATATTCTTCACGTATTTACAACTTGTTGCGGAGGCTTCAGTGAGCTCTGATGCTTTTGTTTCTCTCATTTCCCGGCTAGTCCGCGGCGAACTACCAATCGTGAACGACCTGTCAAATTAACTCGATCTCTGCGGCTGCCGATGGCGAGAACGTTTGGCGTCGTCTGACGGGATGTAAATTGTAACACAAGGGAACTTTCGCCCTAGAACTACGGATCCGCCAGAACGGAACTTGCTACAGGAACTCTCGTACCTCAACGGCATCTCGGGTTTTTGGGCTTCAACCTACACCGAACCGATCCTGGAAATCACTATTTGCAACAATTGAAAGAGAAGGGCTCCTTGGGGTCCCTGATTCGAAAACTATACAATGGCTGTAGGTTCGTCAGCCCCTCCCAACGAAGTGAGCTAGTTCCTCGAGCTTGAGAGCTGCCCCCGTCCTTGATGCGGTCACCGAGCAGGAATTCGGAGAAGTCAAAGATTGTCTGTGCCGGATTATAGTAGGAATTGGATAAGAATTTCGTCAAACCAAGTCTAATTTTGAGCCATGACACATATGACGTGGAGTGTCGCCCCTTCGATATGACGAGAGCCGTCCTCCGTGACTGGAAGTCGCGGGGATCGCGCTCTCGTGGATTTTTGTGGATAATTGCTCGATTATCGAAATCAGCAGCCCTGACCCAGGCACTCTTGGCACGCGTTTTTCTTGATGTTCTCCTTGATTTCCAGATCGTAGTTCAATTTCGACCTTTTTCGCGAATCGCGCGGACGGAGGCTGACTCTAGACGACGAGTACATTTGAAAGAACCTTCGAGAATCCTCTCCTCCTTGGGTTTCCTTTGCTGAGCTCGATTGCGAAGGTCGTTCTCCTGGCTACGAGCTCTCGACTGATTCTTCAGCTGCTGCTGTCGCTGCTGTCCCTGGGAGTTCTAGCGCTGCTCTAATATTTGTCGACCTTTCGTTGAGAACCTCGTCCGGTCACATCGCCGTCTGATAACGAAACGATATATTGATTTAAGTGCGAGACCAAGACACACTCGCTACTCCGGCGGAACCTTTCGAGTTGACCTGGACCTCGGCGCTTCGGAACGGGATCAGATCAATGCTTCTTTGCCCTCGGTATCTGTGAGATTCAGGAAATTCGCTGGTGATACATGCCGTGTGATTCTCAACTCCTCTGGTATGTTCACTCTTGTTCACGAGCGGACTCGCGTTCATTCGCTGATTCCGTGAACACGGGGTGACGCCAATGCGGCAGCGTAAATGAAGCAGAGGGAATCAAGCGTTATCAGCACGACCATGTACCGTCGAGAGAGAGTCTCTCACTCACACAGCATCGGCGATACCGCAGCGGAAGACGACGGAATCAAGAATATCTTCCCGATCTTCCGGCGTATGATTTGCGGCACAACGCAACTTGATGGCGTTGCGTCGTTCCGCATGAATTCGTCGCTAGGTGGGCATGAGTCAGTCATTCCGGAAAGTTCCGAGCGCGCCGAGGAACTCAGTGAACGGTAGAGGCCCGCCGGGTTAGGTTGGTCGTCGGAGCACACACGAAGCGAAGCTCGATACTGAGGCACACAAAACCAGAAACATCATAGGTCGAGGGATTCCGACGGGGATCGGGATTGGAGTAACTCACCGTTTGAGGGTCTGTTGCCGCCAGTGGCATTGCCATTGGTGGTCGCAGACCGTGTTCGCTCGTCGCTAATCGTGCATACTGCGTTCTCCATACCACCATTCGTATTGACCGCGTAGCTTGTCAGCTGGACCTGCAAGAATCGAATTCTTTGAGGTTGGACGGACAGTGCACGAAAAACACATGAATGCCAGGCCAGGGGAACAGCTCGTTTCGATGTTTCCAGATCCGGGGCGGATTTCGTCGTCAATAGTTCTAACCTTGGTGGTCCTTCCTTCCCGGGCCTTTGAGGAGGTCTCATTGCGTCCAGTGTCTTCTCTCCAGTCTTGGATAAGGGTCTTGTCCGAGGGCCCCCATTTTGAGGAGGGCCTCGCTGCTTTCAGGATCCGCTGTACGCAACATAACAAGGGTTACACACTCATTTTAACAGAGACCACTGGTAATCCCGGACAAAGAGGGCAACTCCCACGCACACTTCCGTTTCTGAGTTACAACACCCAACGACTGCTCGGTTGCAGAAAACACGAAAGCTCTGTATCAGCAAACTATCAGCGGGTATCCTCCCCGAAGTCTCCAAGTCGGAAGACGCAATGATTATGGCCCATAGATCAAAGATCCGTGTCGGCCGAGATACTCTCTGAGTGAGTGAATTCCCTCATTCCCCATGCTCGATATCGAATTCGGCAGAGATTCATGTTTGATCAGCGTTTCTCTGAGCCCATTTCAAGACTCGGCAATGACTCGAATCATCAGCGATCGCTTAATTAGGCGCACCCACCTCCGTTATGGAGTCCGCTTCCTTGACGCGACAGACCTGGATAATGGCCCAGATTGGAATTTGGAGCATGGCACACAGTGCCACGCACCAACCCATCGCGTTAGCCCACGATGGATAGACGTACGATCCGTAAGTCACGGGCCGCGCGGCGTCCGATACCGCCAGCGTGAACACCACCTGAATGAACGAATTTGAAAGCGATGATTCAAAATTGCTGTTTCCATCGCGTCGCCGTGCTCTCCATCTCAGCCTCGTAAGTGTATTTTTCCAATCATAATTCGTTTCCGGGCGTTCGCATCATTCTATGTCTCGGGGTGATTACATTACCAAGTTTGGTGTTGCAGTGAGTCGTTTCTCCCGCAGACACAATTACTCTCGACTACAATAACGCTGTATGTTGGGCTGCTCGATATGTGCATCTCCTCGTCTGCCCAAGTTCATGCACGATCTGCATCAGTGACATCATGGAGGGCGACAGCGATCAAATCAATTATGTACCTATCATAGCTCGGCCGAGTCCTTCCTCGGCTCCCTCATTCTTTCGAGCGACTTCGCCTTGCTGAAACGACCATGCAGCAGGTTCGCGAGCCAGACCCTCTGAAATTGTTAGTGTTCCATGTTTGACGCTTGAGAATGTCCCGGGGCGAAATTATTCCTCTTGAAGGGCTGTCCGAGCGTCGAATTCTTCAAAGCGCTCTCGTCATATGTACTTCTTGCCTCAGGTGATTTGCGCGCACCTCGCTTCTCTCCTCCTCGACTCCGGCTGGTATTCCGAACCGCACGCCCGGACCTTCTTCGGTTCCCTAGTCACTCATGCTCCCCCTCTCACTTTCCGTCTGCGGGACTCCGCGCTCAGTTTCTCTTGTCGGAATCATGGCGGTCCCGTGGGCCATAATTGATGGAAGAAGAAGCGTTGAGAGGAGAATAACGACTGACCTTCGTAGGCTCGGCCTTGTCGAATCAGGTCAGCTGTTGGGAGAGGACCGCTAGGAGTGCTCCGTCGAGAAAGCTCGGGAAGCGAACATTTGGGAAAAGGGGGCGGCCATCGGACGGAGGAGGCAAAAAGTCTGCCGACCGACCGAGCGTCTAGGGTGCCGGCCCTGAATAGCGGGAGATCGGGGCGGGGGAAGAGCCATTGATCGCTTGTTCGTCGGTGGCGCCTTCGTGGCTTCTCCTCCATCCCTATCTTTCCTTTTCGACAGGAAAGGCGCTAAAGAGGATTATCGGCAGCTCTTTCCCTAAACGCCCTCGACGCTTTCCCTCGCTCAGTCTGCTCTGACTGTCAGCGACTCATCTAATCTGTTTTGTCGAGTCCCTGTACTTTCTTCCAAATCATCTCGATGAGTTGAGGAGAATGACTGACAATCAGGCCACGGCCGTCGCCTGCTCGGCTTTGTCTCTCCGCTGCTTGTCGTGCGCAGGGCTTTCGGCCTCGACTTCGCGGCTGGCTCCGACAGAGCCGCTGTGTTGCGCCGCGGCCACGGTTTTGCAGAGCGAAACGACAATGAGGCGTCCATTTGTTCATCACCAGCTTGTTCGTCGTACGTTCATTTACTTTCGCCAAACAATGAGCTTCTTCCCGCTCTCCGCGCGGTACGAAAGACGGGACAAGGTGCAGGAAGCTCCTTCGGAAGTATTTGGAGAAGAAATCGAGGATGCGCGGTTACTCCGCGTGCTGCAGCTCTCGCGCCTTCCCCGGGACTCGATGGTTGACCCGCTTCAAGGTCACGCTCATCATCGATCGACGGCTAGTTAGGGAGGCTTAACGGCAGACAAGCGAAGACAAAGGAACTCGGTATCCATGAGTCGGTGGAATAGCGATGGCTTAGACAGAAGAGCGGACGGCTCGGAGGGCCAGTGAGAGTCCCCTCGATTCCACCGACACGTCGGCGGCACGGCGACGAGAGTTCGCGCACCGCCATCACTTCTCACATCGACCCACCGCATCGCCGCCGCTGCTTGGGAACATTCCCAGCTGTGGGTTGCGGAGAAGGAGCATTCGTGGGACAAAACGATGGCAACAATGACAAAACCGGAAAATGCAGTAGCAGAAGCTGGGGAATGACTAAATAGGGGGAGAAGATCCATATGAGTTTTCGGGGAGTATCAGAAGCTGGAGAGTACTCACGAAAAGTATGATCGGTGCCGTGAAGCACCAGGTCCACTTCCAGTAAGGACCGAGTCGTTTGTTGAGCATGAAGTAAATGTCGTTCGAGATATTGAGATAGCCGTACATCCAGGAAATGGCGATGCATTCACAGATGGCGATGAATATCAGCGCTGTGCTGCCACCGTATTTATCCATGATTTCGAGAACATATTGACCACCCTGTAAATATCCAGCGGCATATATAAATATTCGTCCCGGTTTCTCTTGTGTCTCTCGATCGTTTTGCAACTTCCACCCCTTAACTCGGAGCGAGGGCGTCCCTACAGTCTGGTCCCGCAGAAGCTTGGACCTCCTTCCCCCGTGACTTCCCGTTCGGAGCCGCCTCCCCGGCCACGCGTGTTGGGCACGCAAGATGCGGGTCGGAGAGTCTTGGGACTGAAACCCTCGGGAGCGGTCGAAAGCACCTGTTCTGTGCCTTGCAGCTGCGGAGAGGCAAGGGATCCCCATTCCGCGCTTGACAGACCTGATGACCATAATCATGCGCGTTATCCGATTCTGCGGGAGCCCTTGCTTTGATAATGACGCGGGAAAATGAGAAGGTGCTCGCGTCATTCGAGCGTTCCACATGAGGGCGATGCGGAGTCACGCCGCGCGAGGTTTCGGATCACCAGGAGAATCCGTCGAAAGAAAGCCTAGACGAGCTGAAGGAGACATCTAAAATCTGGAGCAATAGGTGGTGGAAGTTTCGAAGGCAGAAATATACGTACGCGAGTCACGAATGGAAGACCGAAGATGAAACAGCAGACCCCGGTGACTATCGTGAAGGGCATTTTGTGTCGTCGGAGAAAAGGAACCTGGTCAGCGATGCCTGTCAAGAAGTTTTCTAGGAGAGCGAACTGAAGGAAAAAGGAGCGAAAAGAAGGTTTAGTGGCGAGCAATGCTGGACACAGGTACACGCGAGACTTGGGGAAACCCAGATCGACTGTTGCGTGCAATCTGCAGGTGCTCGATGCAGTCCTCACCTCACTGTCCAGGCCAAGGATGAAGAGCATGAGGAAGAAAAGTACGGACCACAGCTGGGGACACGGGAGTCTGGCCAGAGCCTCGGGATAGGCGACAAAAGCCAAGCCTGGTCCTCCTTGGACGACATCTTCCACCTTCGAGAGGAACATGTGTTCATTTTCCGAAAGCCTGTTTCTTCCCAGGCTCGATCGGCGAGGATTTATAGAAGTAACGTGTTTGATGAGCGACTCGCTCATCATGCTCGTGCCGCTACATCCAGGCTCCCATGCCACGGCGCCAAACCTGCTGAGAATCTCGTCGCCGGCAATGAGCGACATTCGAGCCGAAAAGTACTCACCTTGACGCCCAGCTCATGAGCCATGGCACCAAGAACCGAGAAGATGACCAAGCCGGCGATAATCGATGTCACTGTGTCCAAAATTGACACGATCATGGCGTCGCGGAATACGTTGTTGCGGAACTGATTGTAGGAAGAGTACATGATCAGGCCACCTCCAGAAACTCCGAGGGAGAAAAACATTTGCCCAGCAGCCGCTTGCCACACCTGTCGACAAACATAAAACCTCTTATATATATTGTACGAGAACTGCCGACACTCGATCTTGTCACCGCCGACCCCTGCTGGAGCTCGACTCTTGCTCCGACGTTGCTTTTAAAGATGTTCTGTCTGTTACCCGTCGACTCGTAGCTCCTTAGACCCTCCCAAAACGCACAATCCCTTCTCGCGAACTCCATTCCGAGTCTTGCGAGCGAAGCCATCGGCTTTGTGACCGATCGGTCGAACTGTATCACTCACCTCGATGCTGAGGAGTTTGTTGAAGTCTGGAGTGATAAAGTACAGTACGCCGTTCATAGCGCCTTCTTGAACTAGTCCGGTGACCATCAAAGTAAGGAGAATCACGTATGGGAAGGTCGCCGCGAAATAAACCACCTGCAAAGGTGCAACATGCATGATCGCAACAGAAGTCCGAGTCTCAATCGCGTTCGACCTTGGAGCGTTCGACCCGCGAAAGGCTACGCATCGGTCGAACACACTGATTTGTTCCAGGGACGACGATGCTCCTTCGAAGCATTCACTCCGAAGACCCTCCGGGAGCTTCGCTGTGATCCAACCGTTCGTTTCTCGACCGCTGATTCGAGCGTAGCTCGAACTCGAGTTGCGAGTTACCTCGTAACAAATCGTCCTGAAGTCTGTCAGCTCTGCTCGACCTTGGTAAATCCGAGTCCTTCAGTAGGGAACAGTTCTGACCGCACAGCTTTCCTCGGCAACGTGACCGTTCACCGACCGAGGGAACTTCAATGGATAAAGAGCCTCTCGGAATCTAAGGAATGATTTTCCGCTGCGTCGTGCGCCTGTTCTCTCAGTGTTCTTCCCGATTGAGAATCCCGCGAAATCCTTCGCCCCTTCGGCCACCTCAGAGCTGCGAATGCTCGATCCGGAGTTCTCGTGGCTCGCGAGAAATTTTCCGTGCAAGCACGCTATCTACCATCTCGGGTCGCTTTTTCTTTCTGCCCAGTGTGTCTTCCTTGGAGCTTTCCCCGCGGTAAGCTTAATTTTGTTCGCCCTGAGCTCTGTTCCTCTGCGACGAAAACTGAATCCAGCAGTGAGGTTCCTTTGGCAGCCTAAAGCCGGAATGGCAACGCAATAGCGAGCTTTTTGTGCGGGAAAAAAACGCATGGAGGGGGCTCACTGAGAATGGAGACGGAGGAGAGCCGAAGTACACATCCAACAAAGTAGCGGACCAGAAGGTAAGACAGTTTGGGAGAGCGAGAGACTTCCATGGATCATCCAATATTGTCTTTCAGATGTTCTGTTGATGCTATTGCTGCCGTGGGATCACCGAGACCCCTCCTGATAAGATCGTGCCTTGCGGATGCATCATCGTCGTAGCCGTCTACGACCACCTAAGAAGTCTGCAGCACTGCCCTGTTCCTTCCCGAGAGCGGTTTTTTGCTCTGGGGATTTCGAGAACTCTGACCAGGGTTTGGGGATGTGGGAGAAGAGATATCAACTCCAAACATTCCGCACTAATCCCCAGAAAAGTCCAGGGTGGCCGATGATCGCCGGGGATCTACGGTACATGAGCACGTCTCTAATCGCTCGGAATCAAAGCATCTCCTGTGGATCTATTCTTGGAGCCCGCGTCCCAGAGGTCTGAGCCGACACGATTTCGCAAAGCAAGGCCTACCCGTGCTCCTCTTCGGAATCTGAGCCTCGTCAATCGCTCGTCGAGATCATTTTAGAAATCTGAGCGGTCGAACGGCTGAACGATTTTGTCACAAACCTTGCCGGAAGTTTTTATTCCTTTGAGCAAACAGGCGATCACGATCACCCAGGATATGAAAAGACATAGTGCAAGGTCCCATTTGATCCCATTCAGGTCTTCGATGCCGCTACTGATGTCAAGCACGGTGCGCCTGAGGAGTAACAAATTAGAATTCAATATCGGCGTGTTCTCAGGAGTCTCCGATCTATGTATAGACTCGGAGCGGACCGGAGCCATCGCAGCGGAAAGACTGACTCCGTGGGGAAATTCCCGATGAGTCGCTCATGATTCAAAGGCCGTGATGGATCCCTCCCACCACGCACGCCTCCGCCGGAACTCGTTCCAAGTTCCGATCCGATGAAGCAAGGAATCATCTCGATTGAATTCTGCGCAAATCAGAGCCGGATACTTACTCCCAGTAGAGTTGACTCGATGGCGATAGTCCGGTGAGATTGAAAGTCGCCTGCAGAGAGAATGCAGTCGTGAGCGAAGATCAATCGGAGCAAGCAGGTTGTACGAGCAAAGTTTCCGAGTGTGTGTTCACATCCCTCCGCTCCTCCGACTTGTCGTCCGCTGGCTTTCAACTTGTTCGTTCTTTCAACTTGTCGGGTGGCTGAAAGTCGACTTTTTCCCGACGACTCCGGGGCTCTTTCGTATCGACTCCAGGAACTCCCATTTACGACCAGAAGGCTTCGACAACCACATTTCTTTGATGTCGCGTTCAGTTTCCTCAGCACCTTCCTTTTGTCGTATCCTGTCTTTTTTCCCTGTACCTAGCCACGAGCCATCGGCCTTCCGTGCCGCGAATCTCGCAGCCTTGCCGTCGTCGTCGTCGCCGCCGCCGCCGCCGACTCCACCGCAGACCGAGCGAAGCCATCGTTCAACACTGTCAAGGTTAGCTCAAGGACGCCATAAAAAAAGATTCATTTGCTCTCCCAACCATGGAGCAATGGATTGCTCTGCTCGATAAAAGAAGACAAAGTCTGCGATGGCGGCAGCGAGCAGCGCTCGCTCCGGGATTAAAAGTTGTCTCAGTAGCGGGAAATCAATTTGAATTATGTCGAAATCCAATTCTTCACTTACGTTGGTGCCTTTGGCGGCCTCAGATCGAACGAAACAAGTTCCGTTCCACTCGGGAGCGCATTTCTCCCATGGAACTTCACTCTGGAAGGCGGCTGCCATGAAGTGCAGGGTGTACGACATCACCACGTTGTAGTAAACGCAGACGATCAGAGATGAAATGATCATGGCCATGCCGACCCCTGCGAGGGAAGACGGGGAAAGGATATGACTACATAGTATAAAGTAATCCCCATACTCTCCCCCGCCCAGAGCCACTGATGGGTACCGAGTACCGATGCGGATCTCTTCCTGCTTGCGAGCGGTACAGCGGCCCGTGGAACCAGACGGAAAATGGAAAATTCCAAATACGCAAGCATCTGCCCCATTTGCTCCCTGATCAAACGGTGGAGGCACCTTCGCGGAGGACACCTTCGTGCGGCGAGGATGGTCCGCACGAGAGTATGAAAGGACTCTCCCGAACAGGAAGACGTATGAACAAAGAAAACGGAAGGGAGAGGGCAAGATGAAACAAGAGATCTTCAAGCTCGAGTGGTCTGAGTCCAGGGTTCAGTGTGTCGAAATCTATTCGGACGTATAGGCCGAGATATTCGGAAAACCATTGCATTCGTATGGAGGAAGATCCCCTGTACACCAAAATCTCTGCGAAAATCTTCTCCTCTGACATAATAAGCGGGACTAGGGACCGAACCCCGAGGAGTTACCGTCTCGTGGAACATCCCAACACGGTCCTATGCACGTTCTGTACCGGAATCATCGAGTGAATACGAGAAGTAGGGATCGGTAGTAAGCGATTTGCATACAAATCCCCGGAGAGCTCGAGGAGATGCCTTTCAGCCGGAGCATACGTGAATTCATATGTTTTGGAAAGGAATCTCTATGAAAGCGGCGACGGGGCTGGAGCTCTCTCGACGCTGAAGTGATATCCAACGAGGCGTACCGACTTCTCCCGTTGAAAACGGAGCATACCTTTGCAAATAGGAGAGCAAGCCCAGATGGTCAGTGGGCCTTGTCCCGCAAATTGTCCGAAAGCCAACTCCATGAAGTACATCGGTTTCCCAACCAACATCAGCATCACCAGGTACGGGATGAGGAAGGCCCCTAGAAAAGTAAGGAATGGTGATCGATCTTAGCTTGTCGACTACCGCTGTAGCTCTGAATTTTCCTACGAGTGAACATTGTCGAGGCACAGACTGTCGACGGTACGTCGGGCTCACCGACTCGAGACGTTCGGGAAACTACTGGAACCATTGAGGGGGAAAATCTTTACGATGGGCTCCCGCGGAACGACAACATCGAAAGCTCACGTGTCTAGCATTCGATCGGTCGGCGCTGTAGGAAATAAAGCCTTCTCTCGAAAAACCGCCAGGCACGGATAAGCGTCAGGGAGAAGATCTCAGGCTCGACAGCTCCGCCTATTGTCGACTTTTCGGAACTTGGACAAATTACTTTCATTACAGGCTTCCTGTTCCGCCTAGGTCGAGATCTCCTCCGAGAACGCCGCGCCGCTCGGAGACGGATGGGAAAAGCAGACCGGGCTCGAAGGTGTGATGGCCGGCCGTTCCAGGTCGTAAAACTTGGGTGAGAGTTTCTCTCGCTCAATTTCTTGGTTCGCGGGTTAATTGTGGTTTTGCGGCGGATCTTGCTTTCTCGGTAGCTTCCGAGCTCGCAGGAAAGTGATACAATGCATCCTTTTGAGAGGAGGCGTGAGAGGCAGTACGTGTAGGAGGGCAGATGCCGCTTCCAAGCATTCACCTGAGGCGTACTCGCTTGTCTGCACGAACGCACGCAAGCAGCTCGGTTTATTGGAGAGTTTCTCACAGATGACGCGAAGCCGCATGATCATCTTACCCTCAACCCGTTGAGTTGCGGAAAAGACTCGAGGCGTCAAATCATTGCAATTCTTCAAGCGACGGGAGCGCTCCCGGCTGTCTTTCGAGTCTCTAAAAGCTTCCGAGAGCCCAACTAGGTTGAAGAGGGAGGATTCGGAAGGAATCGAGGACTTCACAAATCTCGGTGCTCAGCTAGATGTGTGGGCACCGATTTGTTAGGTGGTTGGAGCGACTGGAACCCGCGTGCCGTCAGAATACAGTAGCGGCGGAGCATGGAGTTCAGAGGACACGCTATGATGGGAATTCCTGAGAACACTTGGTCTGGAAACTCGGGAACAGGGAAAACACCGATTCGAGCTCCGAGTGGAAGACTACCTCTCAGAATTCGTACGGTGGCTCGCGTGCCTGAGATGGACGACTCGAACACTGGAGGCTGCCTTTCTGATGCTCTCTCCGAAACTTCTTCATTAGTTACCAAGAAGAAAGTACAAGCGGAAAAAATCGGCGATGCAGATGAAACTTCTGCACTCGAAACTTATTATCCGTCGGGGCTCCGGCTGTCTTTCCCGTGGGCTCACGCGCGACCTTCATTTCAAAATTCGATTTCCCGCAGGAGTCACAATCATTCGGGTTCGGAAAGAACGACAGGCGTGGTCAATGAGCTCAATCTGGGTGATCGTGAGTCATCGACGCGCTCGGGCAAAACAAGGTCTTTGGCTCTCTTTCGGAATTAAGATGTTGAGCACTCACCTCCTCCGTTCTTGTAGGCGAGGTAAGGGAACCTCCACACGTTTCCGATGCCCACCGAGAGGCCTACACACGATAAAAGGAACTCCCATCGGTTGCCCCAGTTGCCCCGCGACGCGATACTCGCAACTGAATTTCTCCTTCCTCCGCTGTGAAGAAAAGAGATATTAAGATATTATCCACCTAGAGATTATTATCCCGCGTCTTCCGTAGAAATCACGATTATGAGAGGATGACTATTTCGAGACGAGTAATTTAGATATTATTCGCATCAACTTTTGCCGCATTCACTTTGTTCTAATGAGCGAGGCCCGGATCATCTCACTCGATCCTTAAATTCTCCCGCGAGGGGATCTCAGTGATGCGCACTCCTTCATCTTCCCCGGTTTCTGATTTGATTCGCCTACTTTTTATACCTACATACATCGGAATTTTTAATTCGAGAATCTTCCACTGCACAAAGTTTCTATTGTTATCAGTGGAGGCGTATTTTTTTGCGGAGGAACATCGCTGAAATCGTGGCGTCTCGCGGTAGAAAATCATGAATCTTGCAAACTACCCCAATATTGCGAAGAAGTGCGATTTTCCCACCGAATTCACAGCGAGAGTGAATCCTCGAGACGGATGTTCATCGTGAGCTCGTAAATCGTGGCGAGTTTCGGTCCGGTCGTGGCTGAAGCGGAACCAGGGTCTCACCGGAATCTGTTGAGGATTGTATCGCAGTCGATTCTCAGAGCCCAAGATTCCGATCGAGAGGAAGATTTTCCTTGATTGTTCGAAGTAAATCATACGAGGGTACGACCAAGAGTGAAAATGACGTATTCGTTCAAAAAATTCGTTTAAAAAGTGTAAGAATCTCACACCCCTGACCATGGGTACTCTAATCTCTCCCCTCTCATCCGCGGCTATTCGCCATGCGGCAGAGGAGGAGCTCTCATTGGATCAGCGCCAGACTATAAGGCTGTTTGTTCCACCAGAAAAATAACCCCCGTGTGGGCCTTATTGGACACAATCGGGAGGAAAAGCGTCCCAGAGTCGAGCTGATCGGCTAACCCGGCAATGCCTGGACTTAGCGATGCCGGCGGTCGAGGTGGTGGCGAAGGCCTCTTGTTACGGCGTCCAACGGAACGGAGCCACCCTCCTGTCCGGGAGACACAATGCGCGACTCAATCTGGCAGTACTTCTGCGTCCAGCCCGATCGACCGCAATCGTGAGCTTAAGTGCTCGTCGTTCCTGCTTCAATCCACCCTCGCTAGAATGCGCCCCGCGTCTTCGAATACCCACGTGAAGAACAACAAACGGAAAATTACAAAGTGAGATCGCAACTGGCAACACCGCGTTCCGCCCTCCGCTCGAACGTTCAACAGCCCAGCTGACCGTACGGATGCCACAGAAACCGGAGTCGGCATTTCGCCGATCATTTCGCGAAAAGCCACCGTAGTATCTGCCTCCGGCAAGGGACACGGCCATCGCAAGCTGATCAAAGTTCAAAAAAGCACGGACCCCGCGTGGCTTCCGTCGACTCGCAGAATAATGGAAGGCAATCTCAGCCATTCATCCTGCGGCCAACGTTCAGCACACACTCCTTAGTAGCATCTGCTCCTGCGTTGCTGGAACGCGGAGGAGGAGGGCTACTGTGACGTCACAGCATAACGGCCCTTGGCCAAACTCTTCCCGTATGCTTCTTCCTTTGAGAGGAGCCGAGGAAGAGATATGAAGCGCGTCCTCTGTCGCTCTGAACTATTTTCGTCCCACCCGGCCAATCCCATCACTCGGAGAGTCATCCCGAGAACGTGTATACTTTCTTGTGATACATACGTTGAGCACCGATCATAAGGTGGATGTTCCAGAAGGAATCCGACTGGAAAGAACCTCAACGGGATCTTCTGAAGCATAATGGTTTCTCTAAGGTGGCGGGGCATATCTCGCATGAACTTTGCCAGTGGACTCCCCAGCCGCGATATAGCGGCTTGCCGCGCTGCGGGTTTCCGACTGCGTCAGAAACTACGATACTTCCCCTGCTGGGGGTATCGGAACTGTGAGTCTGACTGATTCCGCTCCAATTTTCCCTCGGAGAGATGTTCTCAAGGCTTCCGGACTTTCGGGAAGGATCTCCGACCGGAATCAAGGGTCACCCGTCATTCGCGTCAGATGAAGTTCCGGTCTCCGCAGAGATTATACGTGAGGAGACCCCGATTCTCCAAAAGTAGCCCTTCCGTGCACGCCCTTCCCCCGAAGAGAGTTCCGTTGATCTAGCGGATACGACATTAGACAGGGAACTGCGCACATCATTCACACTGCCCACGTGGCGCATTTTGCATGCGAACGCGTACTGTTGTTGAACACGGAGTTGTCAACAGAAGCATCGGTCCCGGAGCCCGGCACCCGTGCGCTGAGAATGAGCAGCCTTTATCCGAAAGTGCTTCGTATCGTATGTATGTGCTTCTCATGCAATTCGCGGTAGCTGCTCGCTTGGCAGGAATGCCCCCACTGCCTCGAACTCTCCCCAGGGCACGCTGAACACTCTGTACACAACAGGGGGTAACTTGACACGTGTTAGCGTAAGGTTTCAGTTGCTTGGCGGCATGAATTCCGAATCAAACTCGGAGCGAGGCGAGTCCTTCATTCGTTCTTCATTCACAGAGCATTTCCGTTCTTAAGCTCAATAACTACAAGGAAACAAGGAAGATAGAAAAGCTGGAATGACTGACTGTGACAGAAAAACTCTGACCCATCACCGGAGAGCAGACGACCGCTCTTCTTCTTCCCAAATGAAATCATTCGGTATCGCTCACATCGGAGAGCAAGAATCCCGCCAGCTCGTGGGAAATTCATTATTCTTCCAGAAATTTCCGACAGCCTCTGATAAACTCTTCTCCCAGGTCCCACTGACTGAGTTTTATTGAGCTCCGCTGACACTTGACGATCTCACGCAGCATGAGCTCACGAGTCATTCTTTTTTTTCCATTCCCTCAACCGCGCGAAGCCGAATGGAAATTAACTCGAAGACATCGACGATGAAGACAGAAGCGAGATTGCGAGATGAAGGCGAGATCTGAGAGTTCTCTTCCCCCCTGGGTGCGGGCTACATCTCGCATTCCGAGGTCGTAGCAAATCTGAGCCTTGTTGCGAGAGCGCGGGGGCTGTGAGGGTGGAACAGATTTCTCAACCGAGGACCGATGAAGCGGACAGTGGTCGCGCAAAACGCTCACGTTCACAAGGGACCGAAACACACACCATGCTTGCGCAGTGAATACTTCTCAATGAAAGAGAAAGCGCGCCCACATACCAGATTCCCTCCCCCAACGAATCGCTGGCTTCTGTACACGAACAACAAGCGAGCGGGACGTCAGCCGGCATCGGCGACTGTGGCAACAGCAGCAGGGGCAACAACTGCGAGACATGAATTGTTTTGAGCCTCTCGCACAACGGAACCCTCACTAGTATCGCAATCTGATCGCAACGTTCGGCGCTGACACAGAAAAACGCCCCGACGGACCGGATGCTACCGAAAGTTTGTAGTCTCTCCGTTCGGTACTTTTCTCCTGATTCTCCCGACGGTCGTTTTCACTCGGCGGGCCGCCTTATCGTCCGGAACTATTTTCTGGGGGACACTCTGCCGCCAGAAGCGACCGTCTCTACCAGGATCGGCCCGTCAACTGTTGATCTTCATGTAGGATAGTTACGAGGGGGGAAATTTCCGCGATCATTCATCGCGCTTTGTCGAGAATTTCCCGTATCCTCCATCGGGAAAATATATCGCTGATAACGGGTTGAAGAATAGATACATCCCATTGGCTCCTACTTTTCCCCTATAAGGCCCCGAAACTTCCCGGTCCGTCTCCATTGCTCTTCGGGTTCATTTGAGGAAGAACGCCGGATGACGTAGAGGCGTATCGGAGCGAACGGGAAGAAAAAAAAACGTCGTCAATCGAGAAGAAACGGACAGAATTCGAAAATTATCGTTCACAAGGGCGGTCGTCTCGACGAGAATCCGACGACTGACGCGAGTCGCGAGAGATCCCGTTCGATTCAAGCCCGCGTGTCGGATAGGAATGAAGTCGTCAGACCGAGACTGGGACGGGGAAGGTCGCACAGGGAGAGCCACTCCGGCCGACAGGCGGTCACTGGCTCCGACCTCAAGCTGAGGAACACGTCGCCGTTGCAGCTGATGGGGCTGCTGCGGAGCTTACTGCCCTCCAGCTGGTTACCCGGAGAGCTCCTTCAATAGTCTTATTCGTCGAGTCGACGGGACTTACGACGTGGTAACCTGTTAGACGGGTAAACACGCCGCTGAAATAGTGTTGTTCCCCGAAATGTTTACTTATGCAAACAGAGCGAGCGTCGGCTCAGAATGCCAAGACAGGCAAGTTCAACTTTTCGGAGGAGCTTCGCCTATGTGGCGCACATATGAGCGGTCGCTCGTTGGGTGGGTCGGCAGATCGGTCGTCATCAATGGATGGCTCATCTGGGAGAACAGCAAACAAGAAGCTTGTTGCAACGAAGATTGACCGCTTGACAGAGATCGCGAGCCGAGTCCATTCGTTTCAGCCGCCGTCATTTTCTGCTCACATTCCGCGGGATTCATTGAGCTACCTGCTATTGATGAAAGTTCCGCGAGGGACACACTCTTCCGGAAATAAAGTTGGAGCGTCGAGAGACTCGACAACGCCAGAAGTTCCGGCATGATCTCAGTCATTTACATGACGGGTCGGGAGCGATTAAGAATTTAGGTACCCGAATTCTGCGCTCTGTCGTCGCGTTATTCCAGATCCTCGGGAGTCTTCTCCTTCTGATCAGCTAACGCATTCTTCTCTTGTTCGTCAAAGTGGAGTGTTCATGCACGCCATCGAGAGGAACAACTTGTCCCGGAAGCTGTCATTTTGTTCGGTCAGACTCAGGATCACAATGATAAACTTGGAGCCTCGGCGCCTGCTCCTGCTACCGACTCCAACGCCGACAACACTTGGAGGGACTCGAACCACTGAATCCTTCACTCTCACATCTATGTCGCGGCAGTTCCTGAATTTCCCACTATCCATATACCGTGGAGTGCAGTAATTATTGAGGAATATCAATTGCGCCAGAGTGTCCCAAGCGCGAGGAGCCTCGCCTTGCCTTACGAACCCCCCTGCAGAATGT